AATACCCTACCAAAACCCATCTACAAACTTCAAAATCCATATATATGTCACCCATACCCTACCCATGATCAATGGGTCTACTTGGGTTTAGCTAAATATCATTTACTATCCAAAATTTTTAAAATATTTTAAATTGGATGTTAACCGCCGTATATCTTTTCTCAGTCAATATCATAATTTCAAGTCAATATTACTAATACAACTGCTAATAAAAAAATAATTTTAGACTAATAATAGTAACTAATACTATAAGGGGCCACATAATACATGCCCATATGTCAATGTCATCTCCGCCCCACGACAAGGCGTGGCATCTCCGCCTAGTAATTATTAACTTATGCAGCATAAGTTATCATGGTTTCGTCCGTATCCTTGTATAAGTAATTGTATTCTAGCATTTGTTGCATGAGAAACAATGAGCAAAGCCATTACTAACTACTGCGTGTTGAATTATGTATCTATCTTCTTGAATGGGAACACATAATGTAAGTGATTGGGAGAAGTTTTATAGCTTTATATATTAGAGGGAACCAATAACCTTCTACATGGGAAGCACATATATCAGTTATCCTTCCCAAGTAAAAATTTGAGGTGTACTATTACTCTGCAGCAAGAAATTTATCCTGTAAAACAGATCAGTTAGCAAAGCAACTTAATCATGCATGTAGGAAATTAATGCACTTGGGGTCGGGAAATACAAAAAGTATATATGATGGATGGTGATAAGAAGTGAAGAAAGAAACATGAATATAATTGCTACTGGAACTGTAAGAACACGACATATATAGCAAGTGATTATAAACTTTCAACCTGCGAAAAGAGATTCAACGGAGCAGCAGAAAGGGATAATTAGGTAGGCATACCTTGATTGCCTGGGTAGATATGATGCCTATGTTTGGCCCGGCTTTTAGAAGTGCTTTTCGACTTCAAAATCTGAAGCAGGGCCAAACACCTCTAAAATCGTAGCTTTTGAAAAGCCGAAAAGCGCTTTTGTATAACGTAATTCTGCGAAAAGTTGTTTTGAAAATACAAGATTATCCTTACCATATTTTAATTTTATTTCAGAAAATGTAATTTTCCTTCATTTATATCACTTTAAAAATAAAATAAATTATAAAATCATATTATTTAATATAAAAGAAATCTAACAAGATCCAAATTTTACTACTTTTTATTGTTTAGAATTTTTTTTATATTTATATCATAAGTCCTTTATAGTGATTTTACACAACTGCTCATATTAAAAAGCACTTCTAATAGTTTTACAGCCAAACACTAAACTGCTTTTTTTGAAAAGTACTTATCTAAAAGCTCTAGCCAGAAGCTGCTTCTGCAAAAGCTACAACAGGGCCAAATTAAGCTGATGTCACTTATGTGTGTATAACAAAACACTCTAATAAAGAGAAAGCAGGGACGCCTACAAATGACAAAAAAATTCATGCTTTGTAGAAGTGTAGTAATGCACTACACGTCGTCGTTTGTAGCTGCTGTCCACAGCTGTCTTATTGTCCAAGTTACAGTCGGTTCTCCTTGTCTTAATTGGAACCCTTGGCCGAATTGTCCTAGGTTTTGGCCGCCTAGAGTCTTGTATAAAAGGCTTAGCTACAGGTTCATTGTAAGCAGCAAGTCGGTCAGTTTATTACGTCAATAATAAATTGTCGTCAGTCGAGAGCTCGGTTGAGCTCTCTGTGGATTAGTCCTGTTCACACCGAACAGGGATACCACGTAAATCGTTGTGTTCCGCGTTATTGTTCTTCCGACGTCAGATTATTGCTCTGCGATAGGATCGGTCAAGTGTGTCTAGCTTCTATGCTAAACTCAAGAAATTGTGGGATGATTGGTTAATGCTTGATCCTCCGGCTAAATGTACGTGTGGTAACTGTACTTGCAACGTCGAGCAATGCACGCGGGAGTCAAACAAATCTATGAGACTGCTGGACTTTCTCATGGGGCTCGACGATAGCTTCGCCACCGTGCGAACTCACTTGCTGTCTCTGAAGCCTCCTCCACGTCTAGGGGAAGCTTACCATGATGTTGCTAATGAAGAGGAACAACGAACCATCACCCATGATCAACGCCCGAAGGTCGAGGCTGCGGCATTCCAAGGACAGGGGGAGCGCCTTTCGCTTGATGATCGTGCGCAAGATCAGCGTCCGAAGTGTTCTCACTGCTGAAAATTGGGCCATCTCAAATAATTTTGTTATGACATTATTGGGTGCCCTCCGAGGTCAGGTGAGAAGGATGAGCGACCAAGGCACCGATCACAGTCCAGACAGCCCCGTAACGGGCCTCAAGCGGCGGCTGTTAAGTCCTCGGAGCTCTCCATACCGGGACTAACTGCGGAGCAAGTAGCTCAGCTAAAGGCCTTCCTTAACTCTGAATCAAAGGCGGAAGCTGCTCCTGCGCAACAACAGCCTAAAGCGAACATGTCAGGTACCCTTTCCTCTGATTTATCCTCTACATGGGTTATAGATTCTGGATGTAATGATCATATTGCAAAGGATAATTTGTTATTTGATGGCGAGTTGGATACCAACTCGGCTTTACAGGTCCGGATTCCCAATGGCATGGGAATCCCAGTTAAAGGAATAGGGGTTTCCAAGCTAATGAATGGATTAACCCTACGTCATGTCTTGCATGTCCCTGAATTCCAGTGCAATCTCTTGTCAGTCAGTCGTCTCACGGCAGATCACCCCGTTGCAATGATTTTTCTTAGTAACTTCTGTGTGATACATGACTTAAACTCCAGAGAGATGATTGGGATGGGTAAGCATGTTGATGGGATTTACTACCTGCGGGTTTTGTGAAGGGAAATCCAGTAGCGTTCTCGGCAAAGCAGGCAGTGAAGGACTCTCAGTTGTGGCATTCGAGACTTGGTCACCCTTCAACAGCGAAGTTAATGGCTTTACAGCCTCGTATTTCCAGTACTTTTGTCGACAGTAAAGAACCATGTTTATCTTGTTTGCGAGCCAAACAGACAAGACTTCCTTTTGTTCCCAGTTCGATTAAGACAACAGCATGTTTTGAACTTATTCACGTTGATATTTGGGGTGGTTATGACCAAGCTTCATTTTGGGATTATACAAGTGGCTTTCTTTTTTAAATCCAGAGGAAGTATTCGAGGTCTTACTTGGTCGTCTTCCTAACTACGAGCACCTCCGAACGTTTGGTTGTCTAGTCTATGCAAAGGATACCAGTCCACATCTCTCCAAGTTCGCAGCCCGAGGAAAACCGGGCATATTTGTTGGCTATCCTGCTCAGCAACGTGGTTACAGAGTCTACGACATTGATCGTCATACCATATATACATCTCGTGATGTTTTATTTTTGGAGGATGTGTTTCCCTTCCAAAGTATTACTACTGTCCCTAGTGCAAAACCACTTCACAGTTCTCACTCGTGGCTTCATGATGATGATTATGATGAGCATCCTGATGATGCTACTCTCTTCAATATGGTTCAAGATGTAGCAACCTCTCTTGATGAACCCAATTTCCAAGAGGGCAACAACTCATGTGACTCTACACCGCGCGAGCCAGGTGAAAGTTCACCCATGTCGCCCAAGACGGCCAGTTCCTCTTCACAGTCCTCTCCCGCGAGTTTGGCCAGTCCAGCCACTCAGTCCTCCCCCGAGAGCCCTCCCACGTTTTCCGAATCTCCTCCAGTGGCAGTTGTCGCGGAGCCACCTCATCCTAGCAAACGTCAAGTTCATCGACCAGTTCGCATAGCTGATTATGATTGCGAGCTCCCGGATTGTCGTCCTGCTGCTAGTTATGTCTTATATCCATTAAGAAATCATGTCACCTATGATCGAATTTCTCCGGAACACAAGGCCTATGTGGCAAACATCTCCGCCACGTATGATCCTACATCTTTCCGAGAGGCCATGAAGTACCCTCATTGGCGAGCTGCAATGTGCGCCGAGATTGCCGCACTAGAAGCAAATGGTACTTGGTCATTGGCTATGCCACCTCATGGCAAGCGTATTGTTGACTGTAAATGGGTTTTCAAAGTCAAGTTCAAACCGGACGGGTCAGTCGAGCGTTATAAAGCTCGTCTCGTTGCCAAAGGTTTCACTCAGGTTGAAGGCATCGACTACCATGACACTTATGCTCCTTTCGCAAAGCTAGTCACCGTCCGTTGTTTGATCGCTCTTGCAGTCAGTCAGAACTGGTTTCTCCATCAACTTAATGTCAATAATGCATTTTTGCATGGGGATCTCCAGGAAGAAGTTTACATGAGAGTTCCGCAAGGTTTTGCCGCACCTGGTGATTCTCGGGTTTGTCGTCTTCATAAATCCATCTATGGTCTTCGACAGGCATCTAGAAACTGGTATCAGAAGTTTTCCTGTGCCCTGTTGGCTTTCGAATTCAAACAGAGTCGCGCCGACCATTCACTGTTCATTCATCGGAATGGTGCGACGTTATTCTTGCTGGGAACGATGCTGAGTTCATTCAACGTGTGAAGGATTATCTTCATGACCAATTTACTATCAAGGACTTAGGGTCTTTGAAATATTTCCTTGGCATTGAGGTTGCACGTTCTCGCAAGGGCATAGTATTGAACCAGCATAAGTACGTGTTGGATATCCTAGCAGATTGTGGTCTGGAGGCCACTCGGCCGTGTGCCACACCTATCGAACAAGGCCGTCAAATAAGTTGTCTGCCCTCTCATCCGGCCCCAGATCCTTCTATCTATCGGCGTCTCGTTGGCCGGCTCTTGTACCTGACGATTACTCGTCCTGACATTCAGTATGCCGTGAACATTCTGAGTCAGGCAGTGCATGCCCCTACCCAAGCTCATGTGCAGGCTGCTGTTTGAGTTCTCCAGTATCTTAAATAGTCTCCGGAGCGTAGTTTGTTCTTTCCAGCAGGTGAGTCTTTATCTCTCACCGCTTGTTGCGATGCTGACTGGGCCGGTTGTCCCAGCACCCGTCGCTCCACGAGTGGCTATTTTATTCGGCTTGGTGGTTCCCCCGTCTCCTGGCATACCAAGAAACAGTCAGTTGTTGCACGTTCTTCTGCTGAGGCTGAGTATCGTGCCATGGCCGTCACTGTCAGTGAGCTCATTTGGTTGCGGTGGCTTTCGGCCGAACTTGGTCATCCCTTGCGTGCTCCTACCCCTCTCTTTTGTGATAATCAAGCTGCCTTGCGCATCACTGCTAACCCTGTTTTCCATAAACGCACCAAGCATGTTGAAATGGACTGTTATTTTGTTGGAGAACGAGTTCTTGCTGGCGATATTCTTCCCTCCAAGATCGCAACGATCGAGCAACTTGCAGACGTTTTCACTAAAGGTTTGAGTGCTGATCGATTTCAGGAACTTCTTGTCAAGCTCGGCATGCTTGACATTCATGCCTTCGCTTGAGGGGGAGTGTAGAAGTGTAGTAATGCACTGTACGTCGTCGTTTGTAGCTGTTGTCCACAGCTGTCTTATTGTCCAAGTTACAGTCGGTTCTCCTTGTCTTAGTTGGAACCCTTGGCCGAATTGTCCTAGGTTTTGGCTGCCTTGTGTCTTGTATAAAAGGCTTAGCTGCAGGTTCATTGTAAGCAGCAAGTCGGTCAGTTTATTACGTTAATAATAAATTGTCGTCAGTCGAGAGCTCGGTTGTGCTCTCCGTGGATTAGTCCTTTTCACACCGAAAAGGGATACCACGTAAATCGTTGTGTTCCGCGTTATTGTTCTTCCGTGTTATCTCTTTCTACATGCTTTCATGCATATATTAAATTTAAGTTCCCTATCTAGAAGATCCTTGTTGAATGGTGATTCAAAAAGCGGAGAGATGTTTATTGAAATTACCAGTGGTAATCAACTTACCCTAGGCAGAACAGAGGGCATACTTGATTGGTTGGATTGATGTAAATAATATTGGATGAGGTGTCCTGACCGCCTTGTACCAAAATCCCCGGTCATAAAGTTCAAGACACAGTTCGAGTCCACCACCAGCAGGTTGTCGCCGCTGCACAAAGGGTGTCTTTGAATCTTATGTCAATTTAATAGATCAATCCATCGGCCCTTCAACGTCGCTGCGTCCTCTGTTTTGTACATAAATTCATACACCCTTTTGATTTCATCCACCAGGAAACAGTTCGCTGGAACCCTTTCCCGCGAGAGTATCTCCATCGTCTGATTCTATATCTCTTAATAACAATTTCTCCACCCTCTGCCTCTGTCGACACATGCTCTACCGGTGCTCCTTTGTCACTTCATTGCCGCCATCCAGCCGTTCGGCATGCTGCTAATGTTCCGCCGTAGCCCTGGCAAACAATCTAAGCGACTTTGCCAAGCCCATTCTTGGTGAAATTGGGAGAAGTTACGGTGCTAATCTCATAGGGGGTTAGCACCGTCCTAACCTTAATCTACACCGTCCACTTCTAATTCTAATCTAATGGCTATGAAAACACTAAGGGTATATTAGGGATAACCTGCATCAATTATTAATTTTTGTTTTTAATTAAATATGTTAGTGGGCAGATTTTTAGGTATTACCGTACCAGACGGTTTCTATTTATCAATTACGATAGTTTTATTTTCAAATTTGTGTGATTTTTAGATCGTGCATGGAGAGTGGTTGTATGCAAGTCCAGCAAAAGGCTACTACTAGTGGAAAAGTTATGCAACAGTTGATACAAAATTACTATTAACATTGCTTTCCTAAACTGAAAATCACTACTCACCTCCGCCATTACGTCATACAAAATGACCACATACATTATTTTTCCAGAACTGAAAATTACTACTAAACATACATAACTAGTAACAGAACTATCACTACACATAACTAAAATCACTACTAAACTTCATTGCTAAAATTAAAACACTACTTTATAGAACTGAAAATCACTACGAAAAATGAAATCACTACTAAACTTCAGTGCTAAAATTAAAACACTACTAAACACAATTGAAAACCACTACTACAATTAAAAACACCACTATAAATCCGTACACAATCACAAATATCTATTAACCTTGCAAATCACTACGAATCAAGATTTGAAGTACACTACACACTGTCGACTGTAGTAAAAGACGAAATTCCATGCAACACCGATTAAACAAACAAAAAAGAATGTATCTAAAATCATATACCCATCCGAAAGTAACAGTCTTCAGCAAACAAGAAAATCATACATGCAAAACCCAAAAAACAAAACACTACTAATCTTAAGAATCGCTAACAATTCAAATTCTCCAAAAAAAAAAAAAATACTAGCAAGGAAAACACTACTAATATGAAGAAACCTTACTACTGCCTTTGCAAACTACTAGCCTTGAAAATCACTACTAATCTAGATCTGAACAAACAGGGGGTAAGAAGGAGATCACATCTGGAATTCTAAACCCACTCGAAGGCCTCCATAACAAAACTTCAACCCACCCGGAGGCGAGCCCGATGCAGATGACGACGACAAAGGTGAGGGCGACGGAGCGAAGGAGAGGGCGATTCAGGCGAAGGCAGTGACGATGCAGATGACGTAGACACAGGCGAGCGATGCGAGGACGACGACGACAACGGGGAGGGCGAAGCAATGGCGAGAGATGCAAGGACGGCAACAGTGAGAGGTGCAAGGACGACAATATTTTCTAACGATTCACTCTTCTAGTGAAAGAGAAAAGAGAGACGGAGAGGAAAGGGAGAAGACCAAAAATGGAAAGGTGGATCGGTTGGGAGTGATATGGAGGGAGACACTAAAGATATAAAGAAAGAAATTATTATTTTATTGTGAATTTTAAAATTTAATTAAGTTAGTTTTAAAAATTCCAAAACTACCCTTCTTTAATATCTACCGTGGACCGTGAATTAATAGATGAATGAGTGATTAATGGGGTTAGTATGGTGCTAACTATAGGTGTCAAAACATAGCCCGACCCGATTAACCCGCCCGATCAACCCGACCCGCAACCCGACCGCAACCCGAATTGACTAAAAGTCAACAACCCGTAACCCGCCCGACCCGCAACCCAATTAACCCGAACCCGATTGACCCGCAACCCGATTAACCCGAACCCGATTGAACCGAACCCGAATAACCCATAACCCGACCGACTCAACCCAAATTTCATCTAATCCACTTGAATAATTATAAAAATATACAATTCATAGTTTTTCAAAATAAAGTTTTTCATTCTAAACTTAAGTAAAATTATTTTTTCATTTCGTATAAGAAATTTTAAAAATATGAAACTCACTTGATATTACGTATTTTAAGAAAATTACAAAAATTGAAACATGAAGGTCACTTGAGATCATGACAATATTAATATATAAATTAAAATTTTGGTTAATTTAACTATTCAATAAAATTATCAATTAAATATAAATAAAGTAAAGTAATGTATTTAATAATTTGATGTTTTTAAAAGAAGAGGGAAATTTTGGTGTATTCAAGTTTTTGGGAAGAGAAAGAAGAGGAAAATTTGGTTCTTTGAATTTTTTAGAAAAGAGACAAGTGGGAATTTTGGTGGTTTTGATATGTGGGAAGAGAAAGAAGTGGGGAAGTTTGATTCTTTTGATTATGAAAGACAAATAAGGAGGGAAACTTTTGACTTTTCAACTTTTTGTAGAAGGAAAGAGGAGGGTTATTTGGTTCTTTCAATTTTATGGAAGAGAAAGAGGAGGGAAAATTGAGTTTTTCTAATGTATGGAAGGAGAAAGAAGGAGGGAAATTTTAGTATTTTTGTGAAAAGAAAGAAGGAAACAGATTTGGTGTTTTCAATTTTTAGGGTTTTCATAATTTTAGCTTTTGAAATATGAATCTTTAACTTTTATATGGAGGGCATGACTAGTTAAAATTATTCTTATATGCTTTGAAGGCTAATATGTATATATGTATGTAATTTTTTATGGGCTAATAAATAAATTAATCATTATTTACAACAATTTATACTAAACTTGATAAGTAATCTTTGACGGTTCGTTGTTTAGGATATAAAATATATGGTTAGAGTATAAGGTACATATGGTTTAGGGTGTATATGGTTAGGGTATAAGATATTGATGGTTTTGACGGTTCTAAGTTTTTTATTAACATATGTTCACTTGAAGTCATTTGAAGTCTTTAACGGCAGGAGATCCCTTTTTAATTTATGTTTATGGTACGTGGTTAGGGTACAAGGTATGTGGTGTAAAGTATAAGATATATGGTTAGGGTATAACAATTAGCAAATATCACTTTTTATCTATGTTTTGAAAATCAAAGTATGAATTTCACTTTTAAATTAACTATACTAGCAAAATCACAACTCAAGGACTTATGGTTAGACTATAGGTTATGTGGTTGGTGTATAATGTATTGATGGTTTAGTGTATACAATCTACAACATATACTAACTTAATATTGTTGATTGAGGGTAAAGCTAAGTGTATAGGATATATGCTATTGAGTAAGTTATGATTGAAGTCACAATAATTTTACTAAATATGATAGCTAATATTTAATGGTTCAATTTTTAGGATAATTCGAAAATTTTTACAAATAACTCGTTTGGCAACAGTTTACTAAAGTTATTTGGGCAATGAGTTATTTTGAAATAACTCCTTTTACCACTATGCTTTTGCCAAATACCACACGCCAAATACCAGATTTGCATGGTTATACTAAACGAGATACTTTAATCTAATTACTACTGAATTAATACTAAAATATCAAATAAACAATCAACTGTGTCTTTTGGTTGCAAATATTGATATCACCATTACTATTAGCTATAATACTTTACCAATTATGATTAATTACATAACAAGTTTGCAAGTCATACAAATTGATTTAACATTTTGACTAGTTTTTTCAAAAAAATAAAGTATATATATACGAGGTAGAAATAAATTGGTTAAAAAGTTGAGAAAATATTTTAAATTAGTGTAATAAAATGTGTAAGTTGGTAATGAGTAATGAGTTAAGTTACTTGATGCGCTGGCCCGAATAACCTAAAACCCGACCCGCCCGACCCAAAACCCGATGAACCCGCAACCCGACTAACCCGCAACCCGTTTGAACCCGAACCCGATGAACCCGAACCCGATGAACCCGCAACCCGACTAACCCGCAACCCGTTTGAACCCGAACCCGATTGAACCCAGCCCGAACCCGCCCGAACCTGCCCGATTGACACCTATAGTGCTAACCTTTAGTGAGTTAGCAAGCCATCCCATCCCGGTGAAATTGAAGGGTCGGAAGAGGTAGTTATTGGGGTTTTGAAAGAAATAGGTAGAAGATAGAACGACATGGTGGAGCAAGGGTTGCGGAAGGGAAGGAGAAATCTGGATGAAACGTTGTAAATTTGGGAAGAAGGAAACGGTTGGACTTGATTTAAGGGGAAAAAGGTACGAGGGCCGGTTGGTTTTCTCGGGG